TATTCTCCGGAACCTCTTCAACTGTCTCACCTCCTCCTCTCATTATATCTACCATGTCATCCCGGAACGACCAACTTGTCATTTCCCATTCGGTTTCCACTCGAGTGATACCCTGATGTACGATGATATTTGATCCTCTCCTCAGAGTTTCTCTGATCCACCTTTATTTCCATTAGAATATTTGATAAGCAATAGGTTCTTGGTTCGTTTGCTCCCAGAGTTTCTTTTTCTTCATTATTTCTAGCCATCTGATCTTCAAGATACAGTTTTATCGAATCCTACTTACATACAAAGAACTACTACTGCATACAGTCATGCATGAGGCTTGAAATGGTAACGTTGATGAAATCCCTATGCTTAGTATGAATACCAAGCAGACTGGGAGTGAACAATACTGGAAGGGAACTTATCATTAGGTCGGAAGGCTCTTGGGGGAAGCAATAAGAACAGAAAAGTATTTGCAAAATTTTGAAGTATTCGTTTTTTTTTAAGGATTTTATTTGATTGTCTGAAGGATTTCATCAGGAGCTGTCATCAGTTAGAGGATCATTGGAAAACCTGAGTGAACTAGACAGCTGTTTCGTTCATCCAGTCTGGGGCTATTCATCAGTACTCACCCACCAACCAGAATTCGAACCCAGGAGCTTGTGGTTACAAGGTGGGCCCAAAGATTATTAAGTCGCTGGTCGGCACACGATGAAATCCTGCCACCAATCAAACGAAATTCCTACAAAACCAATACTTGAAGATTGATCCGATGCTCACTAGCGACTGGCCTTATTCAGGCAGTGACCTGGTGTTCTAGTGGAAAGCCGTGACCAGTAGGGTGCAGTAGGTTGAAGGTGAGACAGTAACTCATCGAAAAAGACATTGCGAAATGGTCGCGCTATGTGTTGAATTGGCAGAAGTTAGGTTTCATGGACTGGCTAGCCATTGTATCGGGTCCCAAATGCTCTGTGACCAGAAGGTCCTGGGTTCGAACTCTGGTGGGTGCGTACTGTTGACGAGCCGCAAACTAAGACGAAACAACTTTCTAGTACTCCCTGGCTGGTTTTCCAATGGTTCTCTAACTAATGTCAGCTCATGGTGAATTCCTCCAACCAAGTTTTGCAGAATTCTGTGCATTTTATGATTTAGTGATTGGGGAGGCTAGTGTTTACAAGCACAAGGATATACACAAGGCGGTATTGGTTTCACCAGATCGACACAACAAAGTCAAATGCCGCTGAGTGATATATAGGTATATATCTTTGTTATCAACCCTCAGTCTTATTGTACCTTCATTTAAATATGGCTTATTTTACTTCTCTTACAATCTAGCATGACTTAATCGGCCAATTTGTTTTTCTAATCCTTATCGACTGCGTTGACCTGGACAGTTGTTTTTCGCTAACTTTATTATCGAAATCGCCTTATCGTCTTATTATAATAGAAGCATTATTATTGTTATTATTATTAAGACTAATTAACCAATTTATATACATAATCTTATCTTGTTGACAAGTCACCATGAATAGTTTGTACTGAATAATTATTTGTAAAACTGTGTATATTCGAGTAAATCTTGTTTGATGAAGATATCTAATTGAAAACCCAATATTGTTCGCTAACATGTGTTGTTTTCATGCGTTACTATGGATGTAACTTGGGAGAAGATAATAGACTTAGCAACGTACTTTTATTAAGGAGATACACATGCTATTCATTATGACATTCTTAGTCATATTAAAAATTCGCCTAGGTGAGAGGAGAATAAATTGTTCTGATTGGCTGGCGATTGACTCAAGGTTAAGCTAGTTAGTTACCCGATGAGGTTATTTCCAGTCAAGTAAATCCTGCTGTGATGACTAAGCACTTCAAGTTTGTCCAGTTCCTATCACAATCTGCATCGCGCCACATGGGAGTCTTATTATTTCGCGCACAGATTTGATCTATAACATTAGTAGTATATATATATATATATATATATATATATATATTCACATCTTTCTTAGCTGCTTGGATTTTTTCCTCAAAGGTGGAGGCAATTCAATCCACTTATGATGAATTGGAAAGTCAGGAAGGGGAGCTTCCAGTGTTAGATTGTAGCGCAAAGAAGAAAAACGATGAGAAGTTAAACACTAGTGTTTACAGGAAACCCACACATTCAAACAGATATTTGGACTTCCGATCGTTCATTCCAATCATGTTTAAGTGACGGAGCACAAAAACTAAGTAGTACCTAGGAAAATCTAAGACAGGAAGTGATACACATAAAAGAAGCCTTGAAACTTAATAATTGCCCTAATAAATTAGCCACGAAATAGGTAAGGAAATGTAAAAATAAAATAAATAAATAGTAACGATAGTGACGATAATAATAATAGTGATAATAATATTATTAGTGACGACACCAACAATAAGGAATCTAAATCATCAGTAGTAATTCCATGCAAGGAAGGAGCCTCTGAAACCTTACAGAGAATTCCGAACAATGCGGGTAGGAATAAAAGTGGCTGGTATTCAAACTAACCACAAGGTGAATTAGAAACAAGCTTTGTCGGTTAAACGATCAATCCTGTGGAGCTTTTAAAACAAAACAATTTAGTTTATCTAATACCCTGCCTGCAATGATTTTCAGGTCAAATACATAGGTCAAAGTAGTAGAACAGGGACAGTCAGACTAGCTGAGCATAAAACCTAGCAAAAAAATCTAAATTAGTTGACCCGAATAAGATAAGAAATCTGGAAGATAGTTCAGCTATCACACTCACCACATGCAATCACACACAACACAACCATACAATAGGCTGGATGGGATTAGATGACAGTTTTGAAATCTAATGCAAGAGCAGGGTGGAGGGAGAGGTTGACGTCAACAGAAGCTTTGTTTGTCGAATGAACTGCAAATACGTGTAATAGAAATGATTCAACACCTGTCTACCCAGATATCTGGAACATTCTACTACCCCAACGACGACAAATAGAAGAGAACAAAGAAAACTGTAAAACTGATGTTTCGAAGTCGTGTGATTATAATTGATGGAATAATTATGAACAATGATGAATTGTCATTTATAAAGTTATATTTGTAAAATCTCAGCGAAATTGAAATGATTAATTCCAGCGTTTCTTGTGTTCGGCAATCTGGTCCGAACTTCTTCAGGGAAATTAATCGAAATTAACATAACAAAGTTTTATATATAAAGGGACACATCTTGTTTTTAAAATTCTTGTCCAATCATGAATCATGCAACAGGTATCAACATGTATAATAAATAAATAAATAAATAGAATTGTATGTTTATATGAAAGTACATCTCTTATTTTTTAAATATGAATCAATAGGTATTCTAAACAAAACAAAACAAAAATTGTATGAACTATGATCAAAAACTTTTTGACCTCAGACTTTCAAAATTTATCTACTTTTGTTAAAATATATGTGTATATGCAGTATATGCAGGATACAATGGTGTGTGTGTATGTGTGTATGTGAGTGTGTGGGTGGGTGGAACAGTCATAAAACATTTGCTATTCTCATATGAGCTGTGATCAAGATTTGACCGGATAGTTACAAAATAATTGACATTCATTATAATACAGGTTTTTTGTATTTCCCGATGAATGAAAAAACAAAACGAGATTGTTTTTATTGACGTTTCGCTATTGAATGCTAATATTGTTATATATATGTTATACATATGCTGAGATTTTGTAAATTCCGGTTTAATAATACTTTGAGAAAGCTATTAGCTATTATGAAAGGGTTAAACTGTTTTTGACCCAGAGGTGTTTACAATGTATGACCTGTGTAAAGTGGTGGAATAATAATAGAGTCGCTTAGCATTACGAGTAGGCGTAGAGATGACTAGGACACGTGTTATGCATGCGTGCCGAGCCATGTCCTTCAATCCATGATGTTTAGTTAACTGATCTACGGGTTGGGTTGGAAAAGATTAAAGGGCTAGAACCTTTTTTTTTGATTTACAGCTTGATTCCACACTGTATTTTTGGTACAAGTATGGAATTTTCAGCATGGATATCGGTAGCCCAAATTTTGCAGGCCAACCATAGATATCAGGTGTGCGTCGGCGTGGGCTCGAACCCCGGACCATGTGCATGGTCGGCGAGAGTCCTAACCACTGTGCCACCTGGCATCAGTCGATAAAGTCTTTGCTTTCAACCACATGAGAAGATGTAGACTGTTTGGTGGCGGTTCTCGGGATGCTTAGAACCCCCATTGGGTCAAGATTAGTCCTCAGTGTTGCAAGTGTTGTTATTCCTTTCTTTTTGTGATCTCCAAAATTTTACTAAACCTGCATATTTTTCTGGGGTACTACTTTTTTTCTCTCACATATTTCTGTTCACTACGATTCTTTTTCGCCTCGTTTTCTTCTCTTTTGTCGGTGGTACAGTGGTTAAGACTCTCGCCGACGGTGCACATGGTCCGGGGTTCGATCCCCAGCCGATGCACACCTGATATCTATGGTCAGCCTGCTAAATTTGGGCTGTCGATATCACATGCTGAAAATTCCATACTTGTAACAAAAATACAGTGTGGAATCAAGCTGTAATCACACAAAAACAATCTCGTTTTGTTTTTTCATTCATTGGGAAATACGAAAAAACCTCTATTATAATGAATATCATATACCCAATGCCCAAATTTTTTCAAACCGTTAAAAGTGAACTTAGTTTGGACATATATAAAATAATCGACATTTTATAAATATAATTTAATTTTTATAGATTTGTTATTCTCTCCATTAGAAGACGTAGACAATCGGGAATTTGACCAAGTGTGACTACTTGTTCATACATATCAAATTTTATTTTATTTATTAGTCAGGATTTGCCATGCATCAGCTAACATCACACCTTCACGTCTGTTTAAATGAATTGTTTTCGAAACTGTGTCATCCAGTAAACAGTAATATTGCTTCACTGACTGTGTGGTGTATCTAATAAACAAGCTTATATGAATTTTTTTCATCTATTTTTGTCAATCTATATTATAGTTGGCTATACCCCTGCTTATCCCCGTCTGTCTGTGGAACCTCCTGGAATGCGATTATTATCCACTGTAACATTATTATCTCTTGGTTTACAATTGTTCACCTGTGCTCTTATACAGTTCGCTGTATTCACACTCATTCGAATGCAACCATGGTAAGTGATAGATAATTATAAAAGATAATTAATAATTCTTATTGAGACGTAAAATAAAGCTTATTGTTGGATGAGAACTGGAATTGAAGTTATCCGATAGCAGTTATCCTGTTATTTGGGGGACGTTAAATTGTAACAACAGAAGACAAGGGCCAGGCAACAGATCGTTCATTTAGGAAATCAACAGATATTTATAGATTTTCATGCACATTATTATAGATTATCGTAAGCAAGCAAACACAGTCTTCTGATTGGTGGTTTCTCGCTGAATGTTAATCTTCCATCTCTTTGCGTCCGTTTCTTGAAGTTCAGATTATCCATCTGCAAATTGTCTCCGCCTATGCAAACAGAGTCTGCTGTGATCGATTGTTGAATCAGTCTTTGTTCTTCTTCTTTCCTCATGACCAATAATTGGGGACGTAAACATTGACGTAAATTACTGTCTACCAATTTTCGCCTAGCAGCTAACTGTCACTACAATATTAAGTGACTCAGTGCTTATGTATGCGTCAGAAACTTGAGGCCAGCGTCATAAAAGACATTTGGCGCGGATCTACAGACTGTTTTCAACATTTGCCAACATTCGTTGGCCGCATAGTGAATATCAGATGGTCAGAAGGAATTAGCTCCATGAAACTCTGGAAACAGACCAATGCGGGAACCTGTTGACCAACAAGTATTCCGATGAAAATGGAGATGGATTGGTTACACACTCATTAGACTGTCGAGGTACATCTCACGCCACGCCACAATTCGAGTGGAACCCGAATGGGAAACGATACGGACAATTTTTGGGCCAGCTGAAGAGGACCTCGGGGAATGAAACAAAGTGGAGATGTGCTGTGTTGAAGCCGAATATTCCACTGGGATCGCATGATTTCCAGCCCAGTTGACTGAAAAGTCAATGAGGTTGTTGTTCTTGCAACCCGTGAATATCCCAGTTCCGATTCACGACGGAGGAGTCGTGAGTGTGCAGTGTTGAAGAATGAATCCTCGACTGGGTGGAAACAGCTTTCCAATGCCTTCTAGTTTTCATTAGTCTCTTTGACGGATTTGTTATTTTATGACGATATTTACATTTCAATTAGTTCACAATCACGGAATATACATATTGGGTCATAGGAATTATTAAGAAGACAATTGCAGTGAAGAAAATTTTCTTTTCGACGAAGTCACCGTCAACTAGGCTGTGTACACATTCGTGTGTTTATATATTAAATGGATGGGAAAGTTCCAGAATAATTTCCGGTTAAGGGTTAAATTAATAAAAATTACAATTAGGAATTAAAATGCCATAATAAACGAAGGGGCGAGATGGATAAAACTCAAACAAAGTAGCATCACAATTACTGAGAAGATTGACATTGATTGTGCAATCAAGGGTTAGAAATGTAGAAATAACAAACATAGGCAGGATGTTTGGTTAAAAAAAACTAATGTGACGAATAATTGTTCATGCAATAAGGGATTAAATATGTAGAAATAGTAAAATAACAAAATAGACAGACAGGAAGTTCAGATACGAAAATAATTCACAATCCCTACAAAAAGTGCATAATATAAATACATAAAGAGTTTGCTTTTGATGTTTTGACCGACTGGATACTGTAGATCCTTACACCAATACCCAGCAACTCGTCGTATCCGTCTTACAAATAATAAATATGATGTCCTATTGTTTTCTGTCATTTCTCATCTATCTAAGTACAGAGTCCTTGTATTCCATCTTCGTAAGGATAAAATCTTTCAGCTATTCATATATTTATATGCATTTTATTGTACTAAACCACAATGGTTTTGTTTACGCTGTTGTGCATCGGTGGCGCAGTGGTTAGGACTCTCGTTGACCATGTATGCGGTCCGGGCTTGGATCCCCTGTCGATGCACAGTCGATTTCAATGGTTGGCCTGCAAAATTTGGGCTACCGATATCACATGCTGAAAATTCCATACTTGTACCAAAAATACAGTGTGGAATCAAGCTGTAATCAATAATAATAATAATAATCACCCTAAATGTTATCATAGTTTTCTTCTCTCCCTCCCTCTCTCTCTCTCCCACTCAAGGTATTTGCCTCTGAATACATATCATGAAGACTACGAATTACTGAACTATGAGAGTACAGCGGTATTTACTGTATCCGTTTATCAGTATATCATATTGGCTATTGTCTTCTCTAAAGGAGCACCCTATCGTCGATCGATTTTCTCTAATTGTAAGGAGTTCTTTTTTCTCTTTTATTTTTTCTATGTCTTTTTGATCTTACCAAGAGTTTGATAAAATCTTTTTCATAAATTCGCTGTATCGGATGGTTCACGTATTAGTTTTGCACTGCACTGAATTAAAATTGCTATACCAACTTGGCGGGTGAACAAAGGTTGAATTTTGATTGCTTCGGTGCGTACAGTCCTTCTTTACACCTCTTGATAAATGTTGCTTGCTTGCTTTCTAGATGAAGTTCTTATTCACTCTGCCCCGTGTTATTTGTGTATGGAGAATCTCTTGGTGTTCACATAATGTACCGAGTCAACTAGAGGGTTCACGGTTAGAATGTCACTCCGCCTACTTCAGCCTCGGCAACTGAATAGTATCATCGTTTGCATCTACACAATAGGTATAGCATATAAAGTCAGGTTGGAAAAGAGCCAATTGTGGTCAAACCAAAACATGGCTTCATCAGTCAATGAAATCCACAACAGTTAGTTTAAGCCAGCCAGCCAGCCACGTAGGGAGGTGTAGACTTCCTGACTGGTTGGGATCCTCGGGGGATGGTAAAAACCAATGGTTGGAGATAATTGGTGACATGGCTCCAAATCGTTTTCAGTGATGGAGCAGATGCATTCACTCCTTGTGACTTATAATACTCAATGAAACTGTATTTTTCCTCAATATTAGTATTCTTTTTACCTTATATCTCTGTTTACTGTTTCCATTTTGCATTTCTTCTACTTTCTTCTCTTGCTTTGTGTGTTACATGGAGGGGGAGTATGGCACATCGGTGCCAGAGTTCTATGTTGAAACCAGTCAGTCAGTATAGCATCCAGCCTGGCTCGTGGGAAATTTATTCTGAGTTGTAATTGAATTCATATCGAAAGACTGGCTTACTACTTTAGGAATTTTGTCACCACTGTATTGAAACTGACTGATTGGTTTCAAAATAGAACTTTGCATACATGTTTTGCACTTCGCGTTGCCACACTCCCTCCAAGTACCACACAAAGCATGAGAAGAGAGTAAAGAGGGATTCCAAAGAGAGAGAGAGAGGCGAAAAGAATTGTAAAATGGAAGAACAGTGGAATCAGGAAACGTGAATCCATTTGCGCCATCATTGAGAACGATTTTGAGCCATATCACCAATTTTCTCCAGCATTGGTTCTTAACATACTGAGGCCCCCAACCAGACTGACAGCCAATACCTCTCTAAGTGGCTCTTTTAAACCAACTGTTTTGCACCATATTGACTGATGCCGCGTGTTTCGGTTTGATCACCATAGCTCTTTTCCAATCGAAGCCTGTATCAGCTAACATTGACTGTCGAAGAAGGCGAGGGCCAGGTATGTATAGTAGATGTCGTAGCCGTCGTAGCCGTCGGAATCGATTGAATTATCCTTCTTACTCAACCACCTACTCCTAACTTCAGTATTGCTCACCCTATTATGCCAGCTAGGACGGGAGATAGAACGGAGGCGCCTATAAACAGATGCAGCTAAGCGTTACATTCATTTCTTCTTCTTTCAATAGCCATGTCCGGCTCACAGTCATAACGGAGAACAGATTGAAATGCTGAGCAGTATACACGTTCTTTAATCGATAGTCAGTGGTATATCACGTCTACTAAGCCAGAGATGGCGTAAGTTGGCGAATTCCAAATAAGCCTGCTGTATCCTTGCTTAGATTTCTTCAGGTTTCGTATTGAGACTGAACTTCAGGTATTTCAGTGGTATGCCTACTTTTGGTGTCGATCTAAAGGTATTGTATCAGTGAAGAGTTTTTCTGTTTATTTGATATTACCACACATAAGTAAGTGGTGGTGTTACCTTCAGTTCTAATCGATATCATCATACTACTCTCTCTTCAATGAATCTTCCAGTCGTCTAAGTTACTATACTCATTAGGGATTTGTATCTGCGTAATTACCTTTCAAATTTTTGTCGTTAGCTTATGTTTAGGAAATATAGTTCACAAAGTACTTCTCGTTTGTAACCCTATTCCTTCATGCACCACAAATCATAGTTAGTGTGAGAGTCGGAACACTTCCCGAATGCCTAGACCAAAGTAGGTTGGTTGTCTGAAGAGGCCACCCTTTGAGTCTATAATTTCCTCTTTGATTCACAAGAGAGTAAAGCAAGAAGTTTAAACGCCATGTAAACTTTAGATTTTAAATAAGGATTTCCCAGCTCTTCTAGGTGTAGACGTGTATGTCCACTAGTCTGGATTTAAGCATAAGGAACATCCTCATTGTGTGAAGGCAGTGCATAGGATTTACCTATCAGATGGAGTCCTTGAACGCGTGGCTACATGATGAGGGCATTTGGAGGCTGGGGGGGGTGGAAAGACTGAAGTGTACTCATGAATTTATGTACCTTATTTTTAACAACAAAAATTTTTTATTTCTAATTAGTTTTCATTGCTACCCTTTTTTTCTTTTTTTTTTAAATTATCAACAGATATATTTCTTTGCAACGTCGCTGTATGCGTCGGTGCATCTCTGTATCTAACCACTCACCCAACTTATATTATTCGTCACTTATTCGAGGTAAGAATTTACATGTAATATTTTCTTTTTGGTGAATTGTGAAAAAGAGAGCATGTATTCTGGTTCACTTTAATTCATCTCTTAGAGGTTGATTACTAATGGTGGCCTCGGGGTGTAGCGGTTAGCACTCTGGACTTTGAATCCAGCAAGGCCTTCTCCGTCCACTAGGGCTTTTTATGTGTGCGTCGGTGGTACTGTGGTTAGGACTCTCGCCGACTATGCACATGCTCCGGGGTTCGACCCCCCGCCGACGCACACCTAATATTTATGGTCGGCCTGCAAAATTTGGGCTACCGATATCACATGTTGAAAATCTCATACTTGTACCAAAAAAGTACTGTGTGGAATCAAGCTGTAAATCAAAATAAAATAAAAAACAAATGGTTATAATGGTGGCTGTATGATACAACCTGCTATGAGCTCGTCTTACAGTCGGAGAATCCTAGGTTCCAACCCTGGTGAATACATGCTGCTGAAGAGTAACAGAAGACAAGGGTCAGGCAACAGATCGTTTATTTAGGAAGTCAACATATATTTATAGATTTTCATGTACATATTTTAGATTATTGTTGGCAGAAAAACACAGTCCTCTGATTGGTTGTTTCTCACAGAAAGTTAACCTTACATCTCTTTGTGGCTATTTCTTGAATGTCAGACCATCTATATGTTAACTGTATCCGTCTACGCAAAGCCTTTGTTCTCATTTTTCTCATGACCAATATTTTGGGACATAAACATTGACGTAAATTACTGTCCACCAATTTTGACTAACAGCCAGCTCACCCCACACTAAGACAGAGGAAACAACTGTCCAGTACTCCCTACTGGTTTTCCAGTGGTTGTCTAACAGATGTCATCTTATGATGAAATCCTGAGGGTTCATGTTTGTCTGTGTGTTTGTCATACTTTCCTACCGTTCCGAGGGAAACGTAGGGCATTATCAAGCTTCATACTTTGAAATTTCAGTAATAATAATAATTTACTTCTGTAGTGGCGGTGTTGTGTCCACCCCTCCAACCTCTTCTCTTTTACGAGATTACTATTGACTAGTAAACTAGGAATTCATGCCAGCCTGAGTCAAACCTGGACCACGTTTCTAATTAGTGGACATTCTACCATTTAATCTCGGCACACACTAGTTTTGTGACCATCAGGTCTGAGAACAAAGACGTGGTGACACTGGTTGAGTATTGCTCTACATATCACGAATTGGCAGAAAAATTACAATAGATAAGCCAATGGATTCTATTCCAGTAGGGTTCAATGGTTGACAAGCTCATCTGGTTGCCTAAAGGTCCTGGGTTCAGCCTCTTTGGTGAATGTGCGATGATGACTGAAGACTGCCAACCAAAGCTGGAACATCTGTCCAAAAATCAGATCACGATCAATCTTGAAGTCATGCATATCATTCAAAAAAGCTCAATATACCAAATACGCATTTAATACTCTTTTTTTTTGTGTTAACAGTTGCTAGGAGAAATTGTCTTTGTTCAATGTATGTCCGCGTGTGTGTGTGTGTGTGTTCATTTCTATTCTCTTCTTTACATCATATTGAGAAAATATACGGTTCTCTTTTCCATCATGTTGGTATCCATTTCTAGGCAACGTATATAAAGTCACACACACACATATATTGTTTCTATTATCTGGTATAGTAGAGTTCCTATTGTTCGTTGAATTCTTCAGTGGTTTTATTGTTTCACTGATGACGTCTTAGTTATCTTTCTTATCTAACATCTTTGTTGATTCAAATAGATAAAAGCTTAAAAATGAAAACGCAAAAACTGTGTTATAAAAATTATTATTATTATTATTGTTCCCTTGGGTTCCGAGTGAAAATTTGACTTGAATAACACGTGTCCACTTTGTTCTATTATCTTGCAGTCCTCTTCAGCGCTGACTCCACGATTGTCCATAGACTCTCATCTCCTGTTCTCATCATCTCTTCCATATCACCGTCATACCAACATTCAGCTTGTCGTTTCCCATTCGGTTTCCACTCGAAAGGATGACCTGACCCGACATGTGATTTCAGTCGATTGATTGTCTACTTTCAGCGTGTATCTGAGATGCATGTCTATTTTTTCGGTTATGTTGTGGTTTTGATATTGTCGTCTGTTCAATGCGTAGTTGAAATGATTCGCCCTGAGACAAAGGGACGAAAGTGAACTCTTTCAAATTTCTCCCGTTGATAGTGATTGGTTATCTTCTTCACCTGCGTTTCCTCTAGTTATGAATATCATGGTATTTCTTCTTTTTTTTTGGGAGGGGGGCAGCCAAACATCTCCATTGCGTTCGGTTCTCTGCTAGAGTTTTCGCCTCCTCCAAGTCACCCTCACGCTGACGACCAACTCGCCGCTTCCCGTCCGGGTTCCACTCGAGCGATGGCTTGTCTGGCGATGTCACTTGATGGTTTGTTTCCTCAGAGTATGGCCAGCCAATCCATCTCCATTTCTTCCTGCTTATTTGTTGCACAATCGGTTCCTGTTGTATTAGTTCGCTTATTCCCAGAGATCCCTGTTGGTGGTGATCTTTTCTGACCGGCCATCTGATCTTGAACGAAGTATTGAGCGAAGACAGCTGTTGATGAAGTTCTCTAGTTTGTTTGAGGTGCTCTTTATGACGCGCTGGTCAGGTCTCTGATCCGTACAGTAAGTAACGCTGACTTCACATTGGAGTTGAAAATCCCTATCATGTTTTTGATGCTGACTGCTGAGGGTTGGTCTCCACACTGACTTGTGAGAAATGAAAGCTTGTCTTGCTTTCCCGATCCTCACTGCTTTGATATCCTCATCAGTTCCGCTGGCCTGTAGTTGAAACGATACTTCCATGGTATTGTCTATTTTATTTTAATTGTTATTACTATTATTACTATGATTTTATACCTTATGCATATTTTTTTCAGTATCGTATACTGCAATTTCTTACGTAGCTGCTATAACAACGTTTTGTTATTATTATTATTACTATGTAATGTTTATTTTTTTGTCGTTTTCGAGTAAATTAGATGCAATATTGTACTGAATGCTGAAAATTCCTTGCTGTATCATTAGTACTGTTTTTGGAATAAAGCAAAAATTATTATTTCCACATTACACCCAGAATATATTACCTTGGTATAAACTCTATCTACGTCCTTTGTTCTACCTTTTCCTTTTTCCTTCTTTTTTTTCTAATTTCCAGCTTTGTCGAATACCTTCAGTTATTTTTATACTTATCCTGCATGGAATAGCCCTGGGGAATTTATTATTTGGATGTATCTTGGAGTCGATTGTAGACGGTGTATCATTTCGTCAACGTATACGTCATATTCGATTAGCCCTGTTCCCTAGGTACGTTTGTTTGTTGTTTTTGCCTTCAATTACTAGTTTGTGCGTCGGTGGCACAGTGGTTGGAACTCTCGTCGACCAAGGAAATGGTCCGAGGTTCGATCCCCCCCCCGTGCCACTGACGCACACACCTGATATCTATGGTCGGCCTGCAAAATTTGGGCTACCGATATCAAATGCTGAGAATTCCTTACTTGTACCAAAAAGTGCTGTGTGGAATCAAGCTGTAATCAAAAATCAATATATATATATATATATATATATACATAATGCCTGCATACACTTACCTACCTAACTAATGATTGAAATTCTTTTGACTTTTGTGAATTTGTTTATCACTAATCTTTCTGTATGTTTGTTTTTTTCTCTCGCGTTTGAATAATTGATCATGCATGTGAGGTTATCATGAGATCTGGTTATGGCGTGATTTTACCGCCGGGATGCACCACACACACACACACACACACACTTACACGCATACACACATGTCTGATCACTAATTAGTATGCATCGATCAATAAATTAATTAGACATCATTATGATACTCATCATAAGGCTTTAAAACTGTATTTCTTCATCATTTTCTATGGATGGAAGTTTCACATTATCGTTATAACAAAAGATCGTGTAGGATGGATATATATATATATATATATATATATATATATATATATATATATATGCATGCGAAATTCACACTATAATTCTAAAGACAAGTAAAATGTTTGAATAAAAGATTACAATTAAGGGTAATCATAGATGGAGATTGTTTTTTTAACCATCTTTCAGTTCAACTTTTTTTCCTTCACGTTCCCCAGTGGAACATAGGGCGTTCAAGCTAGTGGCTTGAAGTTTCTGTGGCAGTGGTGTTTATTTTTACGGGATGTGGTTGCTAGCTCTATGCCCAACCTTTCCTCTTTACCAGCATTATTTCTCGCTTAGCAAGGTAAAGCAGTGTGGCGTCGGTGGCCGGGGATCAATCCCCGGACCATGCTCATGGTCGGTGAGCGTCCTAACCGCTGTGCCATCGACGCACAATTCACACAGTGATATACCCATTGACTGGGTATTGATTTTCAGGAGAACCGAACACACCTATCCCTGCCTCTTGCGAGACGAGACCGGTATGCAGGATCATCTTGCAGCACAACCACTCGAGAGCCCACTCCCTCGGTGGACTAAAGAATTCTATCAACCCCTACAAATGTGCAGAAGAAAATGGAGAGATGCTCTGAAGATCTCTGAATGATGATGATACTCTTGAGTGAAACGTGAATACTAAGCGGTTGATGAAATTGAGCGTGTGCACTGACAACGGTGACATGGAAGAGGAGATAAAAGCTTAAGTGGAAATTTTGGAACCAGTTAAAAAAGACCCTTAGAGAACAATTTGCAATGGGGCTGAGCTGTTGAAGCCGTATATGCTACTCGGAACCCAAGTGAATGGTTACAATCATAATAACAACAATGACGATGCTGTATGCCAAGTAATCCTTAACGGGAAACTTACAGAAGCCTTCGAAGTGAGGACGGGACTAAGGCAAGGCTGTCTTCTTTTGCCAGTGATTTTCCTGATTGCAGTAGATTGGATAATGCAACAGACAGCGGACCGAAAAACGAGGAGACAGGCATAAAATTCCCTCACATAAAAGGTTTGGAGGATCTGGACTTCGCCGGTGATATATGTCTGATTTCCCACAAACTGGAAGATATGCAAGTGAAAAGCAACAAGTTGGCAGAAGAAGCATCAAAGATAGGACATCACTTCAGGTGAACATAGAGAAAACAGAGGTGATGAAGATTCCTGGACCACACCAACACAAACAACAACAACAACAGACAACAATCAGCATAAATGGGAGGAACCTGAAAGAAACAACCTCCTTTACTTACCTACCTGGGAAGCATCGTTTCAACTACAGGAGGACGGAACTGAGGAGGATATCAAAGCAAGGAAAGCTTTCATTACTAGTAAGTCTGTGTAGGTCAACAGCACTCAACATGAAAAATGAGATCCGGATTTTCAACTCCAATGTGAAGTCAGTGCTACTATACAAATCAGAGACTTGGCGCGTCATAAAGAGCACCTCAATCAAACTAGGGACCTTCATCAACAGCTGCCTTCACTCAATGCTCAACTCAAGATCAAATGGCCGGCCAGAAAAGATCACCAACAGAGATCTCTGGCGATGAGCGAACCAACCCAGCAGGAACCGATTGTGCAACAAATAAGAAAGAAGAAATGGAGGTGGACTGGCTGGTCATACTCTGAGGAAACCATCAAGTGTTATCACTATTCAAACCATCACTCGAGTGGAACCCGATAGTGAAGCGACGAGTTGGTCGTCCACGGGTGACTTGGAGGAGATCCTGTGAATAGGAGATGAAAGCATGTGGGGAGACTTGAAGCCAGGTGAAAACGTTGGCAGAGAACCGAACTCATTGGAGACGTTTGGCTGAAGCCCTATGTTCCTCTAGGAATTAAAGGAAATAATAATAATGACTTCAATTCATACTTAGCGCTTAAAAGATAATACTAATACTACCTAGGTTGCCTTAAAAGTGATTGTATCTGTGTAATTAGGATTTTTATGAGTGGTGTGTTTGTGTGTGTGTGTGTTTGGTGTTTTATTCTTAACAAGAATTCTTGGTAGTATTGAAGTGTGTTTCACTTTCAAACAGCACATATGATGATAAACTTTCCGTTACACCTGTTTTATTGCTAACGTCTTATTGCTTAGTTTCCAATCGTATACTTTTTCCATCCTTAAAAGGATAGTGTTGGTATTTACAATTGTAAGTATTTACTTAAAACTCTTAGTTTTACTTTGTTTGTGATGATGTCGCTCATTGGCTTAAGCACTCAAGTATCAGCTAATTGCTCTCACATTCGAATTGCACTTCACCTAAACTAGTCTCGATAACTAAGTAGTTTTATCGATCCTCATACAACGTGCGTGCGTGCGTGTGTGTGTGCCACTCATAGCCCGATACATGAAAAAGATGTCCTGTGTAGCTCTTTGTTCTTGTATGTCTCAAGTTCTAGCCATGGAGCATTCATGGGTGCACTGTCCTGAAAATCTAAGATTGAGACGAAACTGTTCAATGCCTTTTTTGTGTGTGTCAGTAGTTTGGCAGTCGAATGTTGCCCATGCGAGACGTCAGGGTATGATTCCCGGCCACCACAGTCTTGAACCATGCCATCCAGGGAAAGAGTCAAGCTTGAGTGTGGGAGTAAGCAAATTCACCTCTGTATAAACAACATCACGGTTACTGTAAATTCAAGAAATCAAAAGATCGAAATGCTGGCGAAACGTTTGTGTATTGAAATTAATTATTGGGTTACTACCTTAATCCATACTTAAGTATAATTTGTGTAGAGAGTAATTTTGCCCTACTACCTGTTAGGAGATCATTTAGTTACCCAAAATTTATCACATTAGTATTCCTTTCCATCCTGTTATCTGCAGTCCTTTTCAGTTAGCTCCAAGATTTCTCAGAAATTTTCAATTCTTCCTCACATGATCTGTATTTCATCCTTGGACTCATTCATGCCTAACTCATTGTTTCTCATCCCAGTTCCACTCGATCGATGACCGCTGAAGCGTGTTGTCTGTCAGTCAACAGTTCTCCCTGTGTATGTTCACTTCACCTCGATTCCTGTCTGTAAAATTTATCAGGCAATAAGTTCTTGGTTGGTTTGTTCTGAGAGCTTCTTGTCACTTATCATTTCTGACCATTTCATCTTCAGTGTGGGTCTAAGACTGCTGTTCATAAAAGTGTATAGAAATGCTTCGAAATACTATTGGTGATGCATGAATTCCTTGAATTATATAGTAGAATTACTGATTTCACATTAGGTGTTGGATTTCCAAGTCTGTAATTTGTGTCTGTCTGTCTGTCTGTTTTCAACATAGAACTTTGCACAAATGTGCGGAAGTTCAAGTCGCCACATTCCGTGTAGCACGCGAAGCAAGAGAAGAAAGTACAAGAAAAGCATAATCGAAACAGTGAGCAGAGGTGTGAGACAAAGTAGTAATAACGAAGAACAAAACAGTTTCATTGGTGGAGATCATATGTCACAAGGAGTGGATGCATCTGCGCTAGCCACTGAGAACGATTTTGAGCCATGTCACTAATTGTTTCCAACCATAGATTTTTACCGTCTCGAGGACCCCAGCCTGGAAGTCTACACCTTCCTACGTGGCTTAGACCAACTGTTGTGTATTTCATTGACTGGTGAAGCCAAGTTTTTGTTTGACCTCCGCTAGCTTTTTTCCAGCCTGACCCTATATCCGCTAACATTTCTCGTCGAGGGAGGCGATGGCTTGGCATACGTAATACATGTCCTAACCATCTCAGTCGATGTAGTTTCACAGCTTCGTCGATTGATTTCCCCTCCTTAATTAGCACTCGACCGAACCCTAACCTCAATATTGCTCACTTTATTATACCAGTTCATATGGGAGATAGAACGCAGGCACCTATGATCAAAGACAGCTGATCTTTTCATGTCTTCCACTTTCAATGGCCACGTCTCACAGCTAACCATAAAGTAGGACGGAGCGGACTGGTGAGCAGTACACATGCCCTTTGGTTGATAGCCAGTCGGATATCGCGTCTACTAGGCCAGAGACGGAGTAACCCTACGTGGGGTATCATATCAGCATGGTAACTAGAGAAAGATTAAACCCTGCTGTTAAAAAGACTTTTTATGAAGCTATTATCATAATATTAGAGAATTTAAAGCCAATATATCTGTCTAAGCCTTTCGACGCACACGCCTTTCAAACATGTGAAAAATGACGTCCCATCCCATTGTTTTTACCATTTCGAATGTACATGTGGACACACATACATAAAGAGGATTCATCGATCTGTGCAAGTAAGTGGTGGCTTCAGAGCATATTCCTAAATGGCTCCAGAAACAAATGGAATCTTCAGAATCCATTAATGGTGAGAGCAGAAGACCTAGCTCCTCAATTGCGAAACATATTATAGAG